CCTGCGTACCAATATATGGTTTCTTCCCTAGTGTCCCCTTTCCACTTAGTCTCCACTCGTGTCGTGATTTAGGAACACCAATCAGGTCAAGGTCGGGAATAAAGTCAACACAAAACTCAATGACCTCCTCTGTTCCATAGCCCTTGGCGATGCTTCCTTCTGGCCGAGCACGGTTGTGAACATATTTCTTTAGGGCTCCCATGAACCTCTCAAAGGGGAACATGTTGTGCAGGAACAAAGGACCAAGATTGCTAATCTCCTTAACCAGGTGAGCTAGGAGGTGTGTCATGATATTAAAGAAGGATGGAGGGAACACCAACTCTAAGCTGACAAGACATTGAACCACATCATTCTGTAGTTTAGCTAGATCCATTGGATCAATTGCCTTCTGAGAAATTGCATTGAGGAATGCACATAGCTTCACGGTGGCTAGACGTACATTTGGAGGTAGAATTCCTCTTAATGCAACTAGAAGCAATTGCGTCATGAGCACGTGGCAGTCATGGGACTTTAAGTTTAGGAATTTCTTCTCTGGCACATTTATTATACCCTTTATATTCGAGGAGAATCCAGATGGTACCTTGATGCTTGCTAGGCATTCAAACATGCTTTCCTTCTCTTATTTGCTGAGAGTGTAGCTGGCAGGACTTAAGTAATGGCGTCCATCATCTGTCTTCTCTGGATGCAGGTTGTCTCGTTCTTTCAAACATCGGAGGTCCTGTCGTGCTTCAAGTGTGTCCTTAGGCTTCCCATACACACCCATGAAGCCTAGCAAGTTCACACAAAGATTCTTCATCAGGTGCATCACGTCGATCGTGCTATGGACCTCTGGGACTTGCCAATAGGGTAGCTCCCAAAATATGGACTTCTTCTTCCACATGGGTGCGTGACCGTCGGCGTCGTTCGGAATAGGTTCGCTGCCATGTGCCTTTCCAAATACTACTTTCACATCCTTGACCATATTGAGTACATCCTCACCAGTTCAGTTCCTCGGCTTGGTCTGGTGGTCTGCTTTACCTTTAAAATGCTTGCCTTTCTTTCTTAGGGGGTGATTCGCAGGAAGAAATCGACGATGGCCAAGGTACACAACCTTTCGACATTTTTTTCAAGAATATACCTTTAATGTCATCGAAACAGTGCGTGCGAGCATTATATCCCTTGTTTGATTGTCCTGAAAGATTACTTAGAGCAGGCCAATCATTGATTGTTATGAACAATAATGCTCGTAGGTCAAAGTGCTCCTGTTTGTGCTAATCCCACATACGTACACCTGGTCTGTTCCACAAAAGTAGAAGTAGTGGCCTCAGGTACACATCGATGTCGTTGCCAGGTTGCCTTGGGCCTTGGATGAGCACTAGCATCATAATAAACTTACGCTTCATGCATAACCAGGGAGGAAGGTTGTAGATACATAGAGTAACAGGCCAAGTGCTATGACTACTGCTCTACTCCCCGAAAGGATTCATACCATCCGTACTTAAAGCAAACCTTAAGTTTCTTGCGTCATTTGCAAACTCTGGGAATTCTCTATCGATTGCTCTCCACTGGGACCCATCAGCAGGGTGTCTCAATATATTGTCTACCTTACGGTCTTCTTTGTGCCATCGCAACAACTTTACATGGTCTTTATTTCTGAACAGACATTTCAAGCGTGGTATTATAGGAGCATACCACATAATCTTGACAGGGATTTTCTTCGTGGGACGTTCGCCCTCAACATCACTAGGGTCATCTCGCCTGATCTTATACCGCGATGCATAACATACAGGGCATGCATCTAACTTCTCGTACTCCTCGCCACGGTAGAGCATGCAGTCATTAGGACATGCATGTATCTTCTAGATTTCTAATCCCAAAGGGCAGCCAACCTGTTTTGCTTCGTACGTAGTGGCGGGCAATTCGTTATCCTTCGGAAGCATCTTCTTTTAGATTTTCAGTAACTCCCCAAATCCCTTGTCAGATACACCATTCTTTGCCTTCCATTGCAGCAATTCCAGTGTGGTACCCAACTTTTTCTGCCCCACATCACAAGTTGGATATAGCAATTTCTTGTGATCCTCTAGCATGCGCTCGAACTTGATCTTCTCCTTTTCACTTTCGCATTCTCTTTGTGCGTCACGAATGGCCTGACCAAGATCATCAGCGGGCTCATTTTCTGCCCCTACCTCTTCTTCAGCTTCCCCCATTGCAGTATCATTGAAGGCACCATATTCAACAATAATGTCATCATCGTCCCATTGTTCTTCTTCACCTTCTTCTATTACAACCCCGGTTTCTCCGTACTTCGTCCAACAAATATAGTTTGGCATGAAACCCGACTTCAACAAGTGTGAATGAAGACTCCTTGAGCTAGCATATTCCTTCAAATTCTTACAAATGGCACATGGGCAGCACATGAAACCATCGCATTTGTTTGCCTCGGCCACACGTAAGAAAGAATGCACGCCCTCAATGAACTCTTGAGAGCGGCGATCAGCATTGTATATCCAATGCCGGCTCATCTGCATTACATGACATACATACCATATTAAAACCTAGAACATAATTAGTTAATTATACGACATGCATGCCACCACACAAGGTATTATTTTATGAAAGTCTCGCTACAATATAGACAATCCCAACTACCACTAAAAAAACTAAAGCTAAAATTCACTTCAGCAGCATAAGGATTTCGCGATCAATCCCAACTAAAACAGACAGATCATGCGTTTGTTCAACATCTATGGGCTTCTTCCACAGGATCACTGCCTCATCAGCCACCGTAGCCGCCTGTGCAAGAGAGTTTTGCACGTGTTCAACATACTCTTTCTCCCGGTACCAGCCTGAACATCCAGTGCCATCCTACTGAAATTAAAACAAAAAATTAGAACTTTAATCACAATCATCATGAAAATAAGTATAAATTAACCATAATCATCAAATATGACAAAATAACTCCCATTGCGATCCGGACACTTGTAGAAGATACAGCCCTTGTTGGGACACTCCTTCCTCACTCGGTACTCCATCACAATCTTCTCCTCACACTTGCCGCATGGAATGAGAGGGAGGTCCGGTCTCAGTCGCTTTGGAACCCGATGAGAGGCCGAGGACCCGGAAGCAGTTGCGATATACTCTCTATACTCATTTTTAATATAATATAAATTTCTCATTTTATAAACAAATAAAATTAAAAAAACTCTAAAATTCTCTATATCTCTAAACCATGAAGTGTGCTATGCATGCTAGAAATGAAAGCTGAATACTAGTTTTGAATAACTACTTTAACCTTCCTTCATCCAAATATGCAAACTTTAAAGCGATTTTGAGCTTAAATGGCTTACAAATAAAAAAAAATCCACCATAAAAAACCACATATATTTAGTCCACAAAATGAGATATGGTACTGACGAAACATGAGAGTATAAAGTTGGTAACCTTTAGAATCGAAGAATCGATGGAGGAATCGAAGAAATCTTGTGATTTCCGGCGATGAGGAAGAAGAGAGGCCGGCGATGAAGGAAGAACACTGAGCTCGAAGTGACTCGGGCTCGGGGAGGAAGAAGGAGTATACAGGAGGGGATCTTTAGTCCCGGTTGGAGACAGTAACCGGGGCTAAAGGGTCCTTTCTAGTCCCGGACGGAGCCTCTAGCCGGGAGTAGACTTTTACTCCTAGTTGGAGGGACCAATCGGGAGTAAAAGTTAACCTTTAGTCTCGGTTGGTAGCTCCAACCGGGACTAAAGGTCCCCTGCAGCAAAAGCCTACCGCAGTAGCCGTTGGGCAGGGACCTTTAGTCCCGGTTGAAGCTACCAACTGGGACTAAAGGTTTCTCGAATCCCGGGTGCAAAAAAATACCGGGACTAAAGCCAAATTTCGAAGTAGATCAAAAGTCGCTTCTCTACTCGTGGCGAGTTCTAATATAATCCCCTTACATCCGGAAAAAAGAAGCTTCACTCAGCTATGGGGTGCTCCCATGGGCCCATTGTGCATCTAGATTTGCGCCAAGGCATATCAGGGCAAACGAGGTGGCGCGAGAAGACGCTGAAGCCGGAACGATGGTGGCACGAGGCGTGGAGACGACGGCGTGGGCGAGGTTGGGCAACGCAGCGCGACCCGACGAGACGGTGATGTGCTCGAGACCGAGGCGCGAGGCTGTGCGACGACGACGATGCATGGTGGGGCTACGGCGGCGCGAGAGATGCCGGGGCAGACGAGGCCAGCGGAGAGGTGCTTGTAGGGACTACGGCCAGGACGGCGGCGCATCCATCGAGACAGCACGAAGCGGCTTTCCACGTGCCTGCGAGTGTGCTGTCTGCGGTGGGGTGTAGGGATAAGATTGAGAGAAAAAAAAGGAATAAAGAAAGAGAATTGAAAGAAATAAAATTAAAGGGGAAAAAAGGAAAAATATATATTAGGCATTTCATCGTTTTAAATAATCATCAGAAGCTATTCTACCAACGTTTTTCTAACTACAGAAGCCAGAGCCAAATAGAGTTGCTTCATTGGAGAAGTCATAAGTAAAGTTGTTTTAGATCATAGAGCTCTACTACCAAAAGGGACAGAATGAGGCTGCATAGTGTCGGTGCGGAAGACCTCACCAGGAGATGAGAACATACGTCCTGTTCATAAGTCATATTTACGAATAATATTTTTCTCTCACAACAAATCAGACAAACAGTACTTTCAGCCATGGCTTATAAGCCAAGTGAACAGGGCTATAATCTTGGCTAACAAGCCACCCGAGGGTTTTACAATATATATAATAATATGCTTTTATTTTGCACAAAATGCCACAATACACACATATAGTAGTAATACATAGTATCTGCTGCATGCATGCGCACGATGTACATACTCCTTTATCGTAGCAGCAAGCACATGCACATGGCTGCCCCTTATTGTACGTACATACGGAGTATTACATGCATATATATAAAATAGTTGTTGTTACACGTGCTTGCGGTGCTAACATGCATATATTATGTGTAATATATATATGCTTCAGAAATTCAGATTTTCAGACCTTAGTACAGTCGGCCGGCACGAAGGAAAGCTTGTCATTTTGGGTGTCGAAGAGCATGTGTATGCCCTGCATCTGGAAATTGCCCAGGACCGACACCCCCGTGGTTTCACTTTTTAAGATGGCTAAGCACAGTTTGGACGACTTGCTGGTATACCACAAATAGCTGTCCCAGGGCAGCACCATGTTAGCGGAGTCGGCGAAGTGCAGTACCATCTGTGGCATGCTCTTACTATCGGGTTGGGTTGACGACGAGTAGCAAATCCTGCCGTCCTCTTGGCTCTGCTCTTTGGTGTGCTGTCGGTCCTTCATTATCTGGTCTACTTTCTCCACCAGCTTATTGAAAACACTCTCCTCCAACCGAGTGTAAGAGGCGCCTGTGTCGACGAACATGTTTCCGCCGCTTTTCATCACGGCGATATCAAGGCGAGTTCCACCAATGGATATGCCCTGCAGGTCGACGAAGTACCGGGTCTTGTACGCGTCGTTCCGCCGCAGCCCCGTGGTGGCGACGGTAGCGCCGCTCCTGGCGCCGGTGGCCATGCTGGGGGCGGTTGTCAGCAGGAGGTAGCTGGGCAGGTCGGGCTTGTAGTAGCTGCTGAGGCAGTAGGAGAACTTGTTGAATCCTAGCTGCCCCGGCAGTGACTGGGCGCCACGGCCAAGCCCGACGATCCCCTTGATGCGGGGGTCGTGGAACTTTAGTGTGGTGGAGGTGGAGCAGCCGATGGCGACGTTTTCAAAGGTTTGCAGCCGGGGGCGGAGGAAGGTGAGCTTGTCCTTGTACAGGATGCCTGCTGTCTGGGTGGCCTTGTGGCCGTCACCGTATGCGATATTGTACGTGCACTTCTTTCCACTGCACTGGCTGTTGGCTTGCTGCCCGCACATGTCGCTGGAGCAAGGCAGCACGGATCTGGTCGTGGAAAGCTGACACTCCTTCTCGGTCGTCCAAATCAGGTTGCTGCCGGTGTCCACGGCGGCCGAGATGACGCCGTCGCTCCGCTTGCCCAGGTAAAACTTGATGATGTACTCCGCGTCAACCTGGCTAAGGTACCCTGGGGATCTGACAGGTGAGTCAGAGTCGGAGTCGTTGGAGTCAGAAGAACCACCACGAGCAGCAGCAGCAGCAGGAGAATCAGCGGCCGTGCCGTACAAGGTCGCCGCCCGGAGGCGGCTCCTGTCATAGGCGCGGCGCATCAACTCGTCGCTGCTAAGGCTGAGGTTGGCATCTACGTGGGTGAGCTCGAAGCGGTAGTGACGACAGTCGCCGCCGCCGGACGGTGGCTGTGGCTCCGCCGTTCCGACAACGTCGTCGACCGTGGAAGCAGCAAGGAGGACTAGTGAGCTTAGTATTAGGGCTTGCAACGTACGCGTGCCGCCGCATGACAGCCACAGCTTGCGAGGTGGCGTGTTGTGTGCCATTGCCATTGCTGAAAGACTTATCGATGCAGGACTGGCTAGCTTTTATTTATTTTGGCTGCGGCAGATAGCTGCTACTTGTTGGAAGCTATATATGATAGCTAGCTAGTCTACCGACTGAACTCGGACTTAGCTTGAGGATGGAGAAGCATGGAACTTGCAACCTATTTATAACTAGGAGGGTTAGTTGTCAAAAAACGAAGAAGAAGGGAGGGTTAGTGCCGGCCAGGGTCGTGTCAATGTCAGGAACCATATGCTGCATGCATGTGTATTGTTGGGTGGGTAGGTGGGTGCCTCTCCCAGCCTTCGCATTTTCCCTCCTCCTTTGGACGATATATAGATGCTCGCCACGCCCACACTCACACTTTATACTCCTACTGTATACCAATCCCAGCTAGCTAGTAATTAGGCTAATTAATTTTAACCTCAACTAATAACTAGCCTTAACCGATCTAAACAGAACCTTAGCAGGGTGAGCACGTACACCCGCCCTGCTCGTCCAACACTACATATGCATGGAAACGCTCAAATAAACGGTCTGAGCTGCACATGTATGAAGAGTACTAGGAAAGAGAAATGGCTGAACCAAAATGATGCAGCCAAGAACCGGTTTCATTTTGCTGTACATGTTCCTAGAAGAGTTGTTGCTAGCATTTGTAGGGCATCAGTTCGCAGCAGTCTTCCTTCTCACGACCCAAATAATTGGAACCTTTCTGTTGATTGTGTCCCAACGCAGCATCAAGACTATTCCTGCAGAATTAATTTTTCATTATCTAACAATTAATAAAATCATTTTTTAATACTAGTAACTATATATTTATATAGGACAATTGTATAAGGAACTAGGTGGTACCCTTCCCCCTTCCTCTATTTTTGCAAATTGATCTAGTTTTTTTTTTTTTGAAAATGACAAAGAAAATTTAGAAAATTATTCAATTTGTTGAACTAGACAGGAATAAGGGAGCCTTGGGGTCAACAATTATATAGCAACCAAACACATGGAGATATCCTCATCGTCAAACTTACAGGGAAAACCTACGAGTAGGAGTGACCCAAGAGGAGGGGCGAATTGGGTCACTAAAACATTTCATATCAGGTTCAAGCATGAGTCTAGAATAGATAAATAAAACAATCTAAGTAGCAAGGATGTGTTCCAAAGAGCTCATCTAATGTTTCTACTTACCCATGCACAAAACATTTTGCAAACCTATAGCCAATTCTATCAACTAAACCATGTGATTAATGATGAATATAATAAATGGTTAACTTGATATGTTATGAGCTCCATGATATGAATGAACCTGTGGATAATAAATAGGAACCTTAAAACTGGTAAACCTGAACAAAACAATGATAGGGGGCGAGTAAGGGGTAACTTGTGTGGTACAAGTCACCTTGGCAGGATCGCCTAGTGAGGGTTCATGTTGGGAGATACTTGCCTCGATAACATAAGGACCGGTTCATAGGCCATCTCGCCTAGTGAGATATTTCGTACAACCACATGTCTATATGGGTAGACTTGATCTCACACCCCGTTAGATAGAAGTCTAATATCTATTAGGAGGCCGGTGTTTTTCAGCGGAATATTAGGTGAAGACACGGATGCTATGTGATCTTCCGTGATCCAGTTGGCATGGTTGCTATGTGGTCTTCCATGTAAAGCCTCTTGATTTGGCCGCGTTCGAGCCCTTACTTATTATTGTTAACTAGATGATTTGTTATCATCCGAAGTATTGAGATGGGATGATTTGGTATCTCCCCAAGCTTAGTGTGTTTCCAACCCCAGAGAAGCTATTGACGGTCACTAACATCAATTATAAACCGTCAACATATCCTACATATATACTTAATTCCATTACCAAACATAGGTATAGGGGTTCAAACTAATAAATTCCACGAGTTTTGGTGAATCTATAAATGCAGGAGGGTTTATCTAGAAAACCATCAAGGAAGATCTAATCGTCAAATTTAATCACGTTTATCCGCGACGAAAACAACTCCAAAAGACTCTAAATGACACCAGAAGGCAACCCACGGAAGCAGACCCTGAGAACATGACATGTGGGGCCGACCGGCCCCACCTGCAGGCCGGTCGGCCTAGTGGCCCCACCTGTCAGCCTCTGTTTCATACGACGGCTCTCCACTGCCTTAAGGATTAAATCTACGTCGTTGCTTTAAGTCGGTTCATCCAACGATGATCGAGGGAGTTGACGCAGATCGATGACGTGGCAATGCCTTGCCCCCTACTCCATCTCCCCTATATAAGGCATCCCTTACCCCCTCCCTGGAGCCATTGAAAGGTCCTAAATGGCTAGAGGAGGGGGGGGGGTGAATAGCATATAAAAATTTCTACAAATAACCTAGAGCAAGAGGTTAGTACACTAAATGGCGAAATGCAATTTTGCTCTAGCTCTATGAGGGTTGCAAGCCACCTATTCAGCAATTCTAGTTGCTATGATCACTAGGCATAAACAATGGCTATGTCACTACTCACTAAGAGCTCTCAACAATTCTACACTAAAGAGCTCCACTAGGTGATACAAACTAGCAAGCAAGACAAGCTCTGAAAACTAATTACGCTAAAGAGCTTGACAACTAGTTTGCAAGAAATGTAAAAGAGTGAGTATGGTGATTATACCGCCGCGTAGAAGAATGAACCAATCACAAAGATGAAGACAATCCAATCACCGGGAGAAATCCAATCACACAAGAGACAAGATTTTTCTTCCAAGTTTCACGTGCTTACCGGCACGCTAGTCCCCGTTGTGTCGACCAACACTTGGTGGTTTGTCGGCTAAGAGGTGTTGCACAAACCTCGTCCACACAATTGGACACAGCAAGAACCTACCCACAAATGAGGTAGCTCAATGACATGATCAATTTACTAGAGTTGCCTTTGGCGCTCCACCGGGAAAGGTAAAAGACCCCTCACAAGCAACCGATCGAGGCTGGAGACAATCACCAACTCCGCTCAACGATCCTCCAATCACCGAGCCATCTAGGTGTTGGCAAACACCAAGAGTAACAAGCTCACAACCAGCACAAATCACCCAACTAGTGCCACAAGATGATGCAACTCAATGCAATGCACTAGAGGCTCTCCAATCTCACTCAAGATGATGAAATCAAGTGAACAAGTGAGTGGAGTGTGTTGCTCAGCTTCCAAAGGGTGTGCACAAGTGTATGAGGTGCTAGGAGAGTGGCCAAGGCTGGCCACACCCTCTATTTATAGCCACACAAGCAAATAGAGCCGTTACCCCTTTGGAGCTGTTTCTGTGAGGGCACCAGACAGGGGGTGACGGTGCCCCCAATGGTGGAATTTCAACGGTCGACCAACGGCTAGTTGGTCACCGGACAAGGTGACGGTGGCGCCGAACAGGGTGTGGTGGTGCCACCCAGGCCGAGCCCCCGAAAACCCTGCTCTCTGGATAATTAGGGTGGTGCACCGCCACCCCACAGCGGTGACCAGGACGGTGCACCGCCACCCCACGGTGGAGACCAGGGCGATGCCCTTTTGGCCCTAACTCTAGTAAGTCCTAGCCTTGGTTAAAAAGCAACAGTGGCACCGGATAGCCACCGACGGTGCACCGTCACGCACATGGCGGTGCACATCGCCGTGTCCGGTGACCACCCCAAAGTTGCTGCTCTCAGCCATGGCTAGCCGGTTACCGGACAGGCCAGGGCGGTGCACCGCTGCACCCATGGCGGTGACCACCCCGAGGCAAAAACCTTCGTTAGCTGCATTTTTGATTCTCGATTCGATCCACAAGCAGTCTAACACTACTTTGGAAGCGATGCTAACTCTCAACGTATTTTCTCAAAAACATGTTAGAGCCAAGTTAGCATTTCTCAAAACATTTTCCATAAATATTTTTGCTTGCTCTCCGATGTGCACTAAGCCTAAATGCAATGCATGAAGTCCAACATCTAGTGGCACTAGATGACCGAATTGTCTAGTTAAGAACCCCTCTTAATAGTACGGCCATCTATCCTAAATGTGATCACACTCTATATAGTGTCTTGATCACTAAAACAAAATCCCTAATTATACCTTTGCCTTGATCTCCATAGGGTTTTGTTTTTCTCTTTCTTCTTTTCCAAGTTGAGCACTTGATCATCATCACATGTGGCCGTCTCATCATTTCATGTGATCAACAGCACCATTTGAGTGCAACAATGCTACTCACTTGGATTGCACCAACCTAGCTCATATCATCACTCATGACAAAGGTTAGTGCTTATGTTTCATCAATTATCCAAAACCAAACTAGGGCTTTCAATCTCCCCCTTTTTGGTAATTGATGACAACTTATTTACAAAGATATTTAATGAAATCTTTTTGGATTCATGTTGCTTGCCAAAGCATATTACCATGTGTAAAGATTATGGACAAGTTTCATAAATCTGAAATTGGTAGTATTAGCTCCCCCTACATATGTGCTAAGAGTTTGGATTTGAAAGTTTGCACATATGCATGGATTAGAGGTTTGGGAGAGTAATAGCTACCAAATGATGCTAAGGTGTAAAGAATGGACCTTTGAAGCGTGATAAGAAATCAGAGTTGCCAATATACACAATCCTTAGCACCATTAGTAACTAGACATTCACAAAAACTAGAAAACCCCATGAGATCAACATTATATGAAAGGGTCTAGTTTTTACATGATAAGCACAAGTCTAGTTACTCTTCCTATGCATGCTAGTTTTCTTTTCATCAATCATTTTCTATGATCTAGCATACACCACATAAGCATGGATATAGAATTTAAAACTTGTGCCATGCAAGCAAACATATGTAAATGCACATACAAATGCGACATACAAGTTTATGAGCTTGCTCCCCCTACTTGTGTGCTTCAAATTTTAATTGATCCCCTTACAATGTCATTTCATTTGTTTGCTCCCCCTATCTTTGTGAATTTCTCTCCCCTTTGTCAACAATTAGCACAAAAGGTGAGCTCAAATTTTAGATAGGTTGGGGTAAAACCATATGAAGTGAGGATCATTTT